CTCCTTCTTCTCTCTCTCCTCTCTTTCTGCTCTCTCTCTTTCTTCTCTCTCATCTCTTTCTCCTCTCTCCTCTCTCTCCTCTCACTCTTATATCTCTCTCTCCTTTCTCTCCTCTCTCTCCTCTCACTCTCATCTCTATCTCTCCTTTCTCTCCTCTCTCTCCTCTCTCTTTCTTCTCTCCCCCATCTCTCTCTCTCTCTCTCTCTCTCTCTCTCTCTCTCTCTCTCTGTGTGTGTGTGTGTGTGTGTGTGTGTGTGTGTGTGTGTGTGTGTGTGTGTGTGTAGCGTGTCTGAGAGGATCCAGAGGCTCCGGAGAGAGGATCATCGAGGGATCCTAAATAATTTCGTTGATTAATCAGAATAGGAGGGAGAGGAGCAGTCTCCCTTGGCAATACGTGACGCGCGGAACCGACCATTCATGATCAGACGAGTGCAATGCGAATCGATTCGTTTCGTCGGAGAGGCTCAATATCCTAATTGAAACTTCGTCAAGCTCCTGTGCTGCCGGCTCCCGGTGTGCATTCGTTTTGATTATTCGGGCGTTCATCTCCTTAATTATTACGAGCTCGTTCGAAATTTTGTATAGAGCACATCTATCTTTCTTCTTCGGTATTTTCAGTTGGTAGACCGAAACGATCGATCTCGGATCTTCCGTTCTCGCAGAAATTGCTTCGTAAGCTTGTGCAGTTTCCTGATCTCTGTGTGAATTTATTAAAAATGTCTCCGGGTATAAATAATAAATGAACGCTAACTTGTACCACAGATGCGTTCCTTCAATTTTTGCAGGAAATGCAAAATGCTTTTGAAACAAATTCTTGAATATATTCAAAGAAGTGTGAAGCAAATATGCGAATGTAAATTTTGTACGAAATTAAAAATGGTTTTTTTTCAACGTTTATAATAATAGAATTCTGACAGATGGAAAACAAAGATATTTTTATAAGAATACGAGAAACGAATACATTCGTAAGAAATTATTGATTGAAATTACAAAAGTACGAAGAAAGTGTGTTCTGGCAATGTTTGCAAGGATCTAAGAATGTTCGAGCAATAAACTATTGCGTATAAATTCAAGCTTCGATGAATCTCTCTTGTGGGAAGTTTTATGAGAAATTGAAACGTTGTCACATTCGAATCAAAAAATTGAATCGATTGAACGATAATCTTGCTTACCTGTTAAACGCATCGAAAACAATGGATGCAAAGATGTAAGTTCGATCGAGGATAGAAGAATGCAGAGCCGACTGGGTGTATCTACACGGAGTTCATAATGTCAGCAACTTTCACTTACAACTTGACTAACCATACCGCGCGCGAAAAGCTAATGACTGCGGCTTTCAGGGCTGCGGACGTTCAATGTCAGGCCTCGGACTAATTTTACAGCACAAATTACATACATTACTACTAATTAGCCTCACCTAACCATCGTAATAAATCAAGCTAACAAAACGGCGCGTAAAAATCAAAATGAAATTTAATCTTCTCCAAAAAGAATCTATTTATCCTCGCGCTTTTACCGCGTTCCATCACTGTCGGATTAAAGAAAGTTTGACAACAGCAGAGAGATTTTCATATGAGATGATAGAGATCGATTGCAATAGGCGTTCGTTAACGAACTTCGTTAACCGAACGACAAATACAGCTGCCGGATGTCCGAGCCGACTCGTTAACGGCGCAAACAGCACAATGGCGCACGTGTCGCGATTGCGATCACAGTGATCCGAGAAAAGCGTTTCCGAAAGCCTAAGGGACGCGGCCACGTGGCCAAGGAGAGGGCAAACACTGAGAATAGACGGAGCCCTGCTCCCTTAAATAAGGGGTCGATGGGTTCGGTCGACTGTGAAACGCGAAACAGAAACTTTAATCGAGCATACTTCGATCAATCACCGCACGGAATATTAATTATGCGGCTAGAAAACTTGTCCGAGTTCATTCAACGCTTCCGAAGCCGAAATTATTTCCTGGGAATGTATCGTCTAACAAGTAGATTGTTCGGTGCGAAGCACTTTGTCTGAGAATTCGCCGCATTTCCAGTCACAAGGTCGATTGTTCACTTTTATTTTAATCGCGGGATTTTTAGACGAGCTCGCGAGGTTCTTTATTGAGGAGCATTTTCTTTCGCGGAATACTGGAGAAAATACGCCGCGTTTCCCATTCGTAACAGGATAACAAATCAGTGTTTTCGAAGCGTGCAAGCTTCCTTAAAATGATTTCCAGCGCGCGTGAAAAAATTGTCTTTCGAAGCACGTTCGCAAAGGTCGACGAACCCAAATTTTCCTTACCTAAATCGACCAAAATATTCGTATCTGTGCGATCGCTAGGAACGCCTCTATCTTAGGGCGTGATTGTTAACGCTCTTTTTCAAGGTTTCACGAAATGTAAAACACTCCGCCCCTCGTCTCGCGCGGAGCATTCGACGACAAGTGAACGCGACAAGCAAAAGTCGACGAACCTAAATTTTCCTTACCTAAATCGACCAAAATATTCGTATCTGTGCAATCACTAAAAACGCCTCTATCTTAGGGCGTAATTATCGACGCTCGTTTTCAAGGTCTCACGAAATGTAAAACACTCCGCCCCTCGTCTCGCGCGGAGCATTCGACGACAAGCGAACGCGACAAGCAAAAGTCGACGAACCTAATTTCCTTACCTAAATCGACCAAAATATTCGTATCTGTGCAATCACTAAAAACGCCTCTATCTTAGGGCGTAATTGTTGACGCTCGTTTTCAAGGTCTCACGAAATGTAAAACACTCCACACCTCGTCTCGCGCGGAGCATTCGACGACAAGCGAACGCGAGATTGAACGTGGGCGAATTTATGGATGTTTTACGCCCTGGCCCTGCCCACCTGGGCCCGGGAGAGATACACACGATCGATACAACGATTACAGACGTAAATTTGTGTTACAAGCTCGCAACAGTTGCGCGATCGATCGATCTCGGCGCAGAGAGAAAGAGAGGCGATGCACCCCGCGACGTTCACCGTGGGACGCGGCGCAGTTTCGTCACGGGTACTCAGCCCGGATCGTCCTTGTTCCAGGATGTTACTGATCCATGTCCGACGGGATTTCACGCTTCCATGATCGTCGGCGATATTGCACTCTCGTGGAAAGGGCTGCGTGCTCATCCGTGCGAAATAGATTGGAAATTAAACGGCTCGTACTACAACCCTGTCGCTCGCTTTCCGAGGCGAAGAAAAACCACTCGGGAAACGCGTAAACATATGCAAGCATGTCTTGACAAATTTTTTATACAGGTTGTCCCAAAAATGTCTCGCAATCCGGAAATGGTGGATTCTTGAGGTCATTCGAAGCAACTTTTTCCTTGGCGAAAATGCAATCCGCGGCTTTGTTTACGAGTTATTAACGAAAAACAGTGATCAATGAGAGCGCACGAAGCCCAGTTCCGCTCATTGGCTCGCCTTTCATTGGTTAATTTTTCGTTTATAACTCGCAAACATCCCATTCAAAGAGTCTGATACTTTCTATTATCTATCTTGATTTAAATGGCTTAACATAAACGCGATGCTGCTTCGATGAAGACTTTATACAATATTTTTCTCAAAATAAACGCAACAGTTAAAGCGCTTTTTAAAAAGAAGACAAAATCTTTAGTAAACGTACAGGCCGCAAACATTGGTGCGCGCCATAAAATAACTACATATCCTTACAGTTACCGATTAAACGGAACGAAATTTATTAACCTTTTCATTGCGCGTTTATCTTTTACGGGCGCCAGCGATACGTGCGCTTTATTTGCCATCTCGTACAAATACACGTACAAATACATCTCGCACAACAACTTACACAGAGATACACATGTATCAACGGCTGGAGCATTTTCCCGTTCTAAATAATTCTATTCAGCTTGTGTAAATAATGTATCTAGAAGCAGTAAACAACGTATCGTAAATATACGTTTGCAGCGATGAAAGTTAATAACGTTATTGCACACGGACACCTCGGCTTGGAGAAAAGTTGAAATTGCCAATTGCCACCCTCGGTCTTCCACGGTCAAATAGACAACGTCCTGCAGCGTGCGCGCCGCAGAGCCCCATTTCATCGCCGCGTTCCCTCACCATATGTCGATTTATGGTTCTTCCATTAGAGACAGGGTCCCGTGCTGCACCGCGGGAGTTCCATTTCGATTCGTAGACAACAGGGTATCGTTTCCACCGAAGACGGAGGGCTCTTATTGTTCCCTTTTGTTGTGACCCGACCGGTGATATATTTCCGTGTGTTTACACACAATATCGTATTCATGGTAAATCTGAGCAAACATTGCTTCGGGACGGGAGAGAAGTAGGTCCGTAGATTTATGAGCGTGTCACGTGGTTCACGCAACATTTTGTGAACTGCGTTCATAGCGAAGCGCGACGAAGCTCTCCGTGTCTGCGCGTGCAGACTTCGATGCCTGCGCGAGCGAGATCGTGCGCGATTTATGTGCATTAACTGTTCATATTAGCTTCTCGTTCATATTTTTGTTGATAAAAATCATCAGTCTAAAGAGAAATTCGTAAACACGGACAAAAGAAAGGATAACATTGATTTTACACGTAACCGGGATTGAATAAAGAGAAATAAACAATAAAAATGAAAGAGAATAATTTAGAAGGTAATCCTTCAATCAATAACAGTAGACAATACGAGAGAAATAAATCATTTCCTACTAACGGATATACTAAAAAACATTTCAATTATTTATTGATAGAAACGAGTTCGTCCCGTCAGATCTTTGCTGTTAAAACCGCTTTCCTTGAACGCCGTTAAGTATTTATTACTAAAAACGATTTACTTCGACGCTGTTAGGTATTTATTATTAAAAACAATTTCCTCCAATTCTGCCAAACATTTTTTATCGAAAGCACTTTCCGCCAACGACGATTGAAACGACTGTAAAATCAAATCGTGACACAAATGCGATCGACATCAAATTGTTCGAATTTCTTCCAAAGGTAGAAGTTGTTTGCTAACATTTTGGTATTTATTCTTGTTACAGAGACATCTTGACAAGGGCAGCGACCTAGCGGAGGCGGCGAGCGCGAGCGGACTCCGCGAACTCGCGAGATCCTTGAAGCAACATCTGCGAGGATTCGGTAGCCGCCTGGAGGACAGACGCGAGTACCTCGAGGACACGTCGAGATGTTGCCTGCTTCAGGACAGGGCGTACGAGTGGGCCCAGGAGGCTCGTCTCGCTGGCGAAAGAAGGGCCCAGCAGTTCCTGATGGCGAGACCACCCCTGCCGCCGGAGCATTTCACGGAAATGATGGCGCTCGCCGAGAAGCTCGGTAACGAGATCCTCCTCGAACAATGCCGCATCGCCAGGAACAAGTGCGCGGAAGCCCTCGAGATCGCGAGGACCACTTCCGCACCCGGCAGTCCGGCCAGGAGAAGGTCCTTCGCCGCCTCAGAGTCCGCTACCTCGTGGGAGGACACTCTTGCCAAGAGTAAGTTATACTCTTCCTTTGCCATTCCTCTAACGCCTTTCGAACTTCGCACATCTTTCGATAGCAAACTCTTTAGCAAACTCTTTAGCAGATCTTCGTGCAGACAACCTTTCTTCTCGACAACCGTCTCTGATATTCTAAGTTCAATTTTGTAACTTCGTTACAAAACCGTCATCTTCTGAAAAAGCAAACCAACCGCACCCTTCACGGTCAATGTTAATTGTTATAATCGATAGAGTTATTGGAAATGTAAACTTTCGCAGCAACAACATTTTTCTTTGCGATTCTCGAATCTTCCGACGCAATTTACACCGTACACTCTCTAACTAAAGTATTAGGTTTTTTTTAGTGTACCCTGTAATCTAAAGAGTAATTTAGGCTGTTTAATCGATCAAATTATAATAACAATAAAATTATAGTTCCTCGAAGCAGTACAAGAATGCAGAGTTAGGGATTCGGTTCTCTTTTTGAATGGAGGTGTATTGAGATATCTCAGCCTTGGCAATTTTATGTTATTGTGTTTGACACTTTACTTTAATTCATATCTCGTTCTCAACAATTTTCGAAAAAATTGCTTTATTTGCGAGTTATTTCTACAACACCGGATGTAGACAGTGCAATTACGCGCACATAAACATGACAACATCGGCAGCGTTGCTTATTAGAAAAAGTAACCTAGATTTATTCCATCGAACACCTCCAATTGAAATAGTTCTGATGGGCGGGTCATTGAAGCACAATGATCTTTGAAACTGCTCGGTCGCTTTACTATGTTCCTAAAGCGGAACAAGATCGATCCCTGCTTACGAGGTTGGTGACTGAATCGTCGTTGAATAAATTGACTTGGAACGACGTAAACGAGAAATTTTCTTATCGGTGTCGTTGACGAACTGTTCAATTCTCCAGGAACATCGTGGGATGACAGTGACAGCAGCGCATCGTACGCGTGCCCCATGGAGAGCATAGGATCCGCCGGAAGTGGCGGAAGACCGGTGTTGGACAACATCGCGGAGCTTCGTGAAAGCGCGGAGCAACTTTTGGATTGTTCACCTCCGAGAACTCCGCCTCGAAGTCCAGCTCCGAGGCGGCTCGTGAAGCCTCCGGTGAACTCGCACCTCCATAGAGCAGCCAGCATCGCGCCAGGCATGAAGGCGAAAAAGTACGCGCACTGTTTCACGCTTAAATCCTTTTCGCTCTCAAAGAGTTGGCCGAATTCTTCGCGAAGAACGCGATCTTCGCTCGCAAGCGAAGAAAAGTTTTTTGATCGAAGGAACTTTTGCTCGGGAACGTCCGATATTCGTCTGGCGTTTCTCTCTGTCTTCCGTTGTGAAAGTTGTAAACAAGGCTCTTATCCTTACCATAAACGCATAAAGATCATTTTTCTGAGATTAACAAACATTTGTTCAGACACCGTGGATAAGACTTCCGTTCGGAATGCCCGAGCAAACTGTTTCCACGATTAAGAGAATCATTTTCTAGACTCGGTTAACGAGCCCCGTTGTTCGTCTACTCGAGAGGATAAAACCACATAACCTTTCATTCAACGGATTCGTTCAACTTTCGTTTTCAAATGCTAGCTAACTCTGTATTCCGCGTGACCGAGGTTCGACAATGCCCTGTAATTACCGCGGCTTGATTAATATTCTAATTAAAAGTTCCCGAGCAAACCGATTCAAAGATCGGCCGCGATCTAACTGTGGGAGACTGCATTTCGCGGCGAGTTTTCGTGTACGATTCTCCTTCCGCGTTTCCGCGGCCGCTCTCGTGCTCGCGCCGAACACAATGGCCAACTGTTTATCTATAATAATTCCATGACGCGATTATGCGGAATTGTTACGTCGCGATGCCGGCGACTACGGGGACGGCTGGTCGTTAACGAGGAATTTCACCTTGCAGAACAATACTGCTGATAATGAGGGAAATGATACAGACCGAACGAGACTACGTGAAGTCCCTCGAGTACATAATAGAGGTAACTGTCCGCCAGCAATTCGTTGAACGATCTTGCCGGGTGATTAACGGTGTTCGTTCTTTTTCCGATCCTCCCGCAAGAATTATATACCGGAGCTGGTGCGCGAGGACATCCCGCAGGCGCTGCGAGGACAACGCAACGTGATCTTCGGCAACGTCGAGAAGATCTACGAGTTCCACAGCCAACACTTCCTACGGGAACTGGAGCAGTGCGAGCAGTCCCCGATGAACGTGGGACAGTGTTTCCTCAGACATGTGAGTTCTTATATTTTCAAATTATACATTCAGTATTCTTCATCTTTCTTGGATTCTCACGAATCCATCTTTTTCTAGAATTTCGTTCGGCTTGATCGTAACGCTTGCGTTTCATATATATTTGTTCCATTTTTAACAATATTTCTAAATTTTGATAATGAGAAATAGTCGAAATTTGTGGTAGTACAGTGCCTCGTGAACACAATCCTGTATCAAAATATATAGGATGTCCTAAAATTGTGGTATTTCCGGGAAGTAAGGGGTTCCTGAGGTCATTTGAAGTAACTTTTTCCTTAGCGAAAATGCGATCCGCGGCTTCGTTTACGAATTATCGACGAAAAACAGCGACCAATAAGGCGCGAGCTCTCCTAGCGCGACGCGGCCGAGCTAATGAGCAGGGCTCCGACCGCTCGTTGGCTGGGCCGCGTCACGGCGGCGTCGCGCGGCCCTCATTGGTCACTGTATTTCGTTAATAACTCGTAAACGAAGCCGCGGATTGCATTTTCGCTAAGGAAAAAGTTATTTCAAATCATCTCAGCGACCCCTCATTTGCTGGAAATACCATAATTTTAAGACATCTTGTATATTCTCATATCATATGTTCTATTTGCCTGAAACTAAAAAACAAGAAAGATTCTTAATCAGGAAGCGTTTGGTTGTCGCAGGAACCACAAGAAGAAAAAATTGAATTTTTGAAAGTTCTGTACTGGAATACCCTCTTAACAGCTGCTTCAGTGTTTTGATCTATCTTATGGCTTCTTTCACCAAATCCATCTTACGTAGTTTGGTCACGTAAGACTCTTCGTGGCGCGGAACAAATTCGATTCAATTCCATAAGCTCTTGCTTCGGGTGTGAAAACATAGCAGAATTTTTTTCAATCTTACAGAGCAATTAGCAGACTGTGGATACTTTACAATGTTGACAACAGTGTAAAAACAATGTTTAGTAAATTTTCCCTAACTTTGCTTCAGTTTATAAACAAGAATGGATCATTTGGGAAGAGGAGATACGATTATTCGAGTCTCCCAAATTGTCAACAATTATAAAAACGAACCGCAAGGCTCGAATAATCGTATCTCCACTTTCTAAATTGTGAAGTTTTGTTTACAAGCTGAAGGAAGATTTGGGAGAATTTACTGTACACTGAAGTAAAAGCATCACTCAAAGAAAAGAAGCACGTTTCCTTCAATTTCTGATTCGCTCAGCTGATGTAAACAATTTTTATTCTGCAGAGAAACATACGTTCTAGAGATTTGCGTCCAAAAAAATGTAAACTAACCCTTTGCACTCGAGTGACACCGCTAAAATTTGTTATATCACGGTCTAAGATAATGTTTCCGTTAACAAAGTTTAGATTTGAAAAAAATTGCTAAAAGTGTAACCGTTGCGTAAGTCGCAAGACTCAATTTCGCATGCACAAAATGCACTCTGACATGTAAAATGGAAATATTACAAGTCAGAAAAATTATTTTAGATCTACAGTTAAAGTAGCTTCGAGTGCAAAGGGTTAATATATTTTGTCGACTCCGAATTCTGTGGTTCGTGTTCTGAACCAAGAGCAATGACCCAAGATTGCCACTACTGCATGATGACGAACGTTGTTTCTTCTGCATCGAATGGGGATAAAGTGCGATGCGAATGAGCTGTTTACGTCGTTGCAGGAGAAGAAGTTCTACCTGTACGCCTTGTACAATAAGAACAAGCCGAACTCCGACTCGCTGATGGCCGAGTATGGCACGGTGTTCTTCAAGCAGAAGCAGCTCGAGCTGGGCGACAAGATGGACCTGGCCAGCTACTTGCTGAAGCCGGTGCAACGGATGGGCAAGTACGCGTTGCTGCTGCAGCAGCTGGTCAAAGCGGGAACAGATCTGTCGGAGCAAATGTCCGGCAAAGAGGAAAAGGACGAGAAAGAGGACGGTTTGAAGCCGATGGTCGAGGGCGAGGCGGATTTGAGAGCAGCCGAGCAGATGGTCCGGTTCCAACTGCGCCATGGAAACGATCTGCTGGCGATGGACTCTCTTCGTGACTGCGACGTACGTATAACTTCCTGTATCTCGGGAGTTAAGTAATAAACTGGAATCGATAAACTTGCTGACAAATAACGACGTGGCGGAAGAAACGGTCACGTCATCGGCGCTGATGCAGCGTGTGCGTGTAATCCGTGAAGAATGTATGGTTAAGAGGCTTAATTAGTAACGGGGATTATAGGTGAACGTGAAGGAACAGGGCAGGCTGCTGAGGCAGAACGAGTTCCTCGTCTGGCAGGGCAAGGGCAAGAAGTGCCTGCGACAGGTCTTCCTCTTCGAGGATCTTATACTCTTCAGCAAAGCGAGAAGATTCCCCGATAGGAAGGTGAGAGGCGCACGCTGTACCGAGCTCTAAATAATAATTCGAACGATCCTAATAATTCTGATCGAATACCTTCGGAGTTAGCACATGGGTTCTCCCTTCGCACCGATCCAGTAATAAACACGTTATAGCGAGCTCTAAATAATAATTCGAACGACCCTAATAATTCTGATCGAATACCTTCGGAGTTAGCATATGGGTTCTCCCTTCGCACCGATCCAGTAATAAACACGCTATAGCGAGCTCTAAATAATAATTCGAACGATCCTAATAATTCTCATCGAATACCTTCGGAGTTAGCATATGGGTTCTCCCTTCGCACCGATCCAGTAATAATCACGCTGTACCAAGCTCTAAATAATAATTCGAACGATCCTAATAATTCTGATCGAATACCTTCGGAGTTAGCATATGGGTTCTCCCTTCGCACCGATTCTGTAATAAACACGTTGTACCGAGCTCTAAATAATAATTCGAACGATCCTAATTATTCTGATCGAATACCTTCGAAGTTAGCATATGGGTTCTCCCTTCGCACCGATCCAGTAATAAACAAGATTCCGCGAGCTCTAAATAATAATTCGAACGATCCTAATTATTCTGATCGAATACCTTCGAAGTTAGCATATGGGTTCTCCCTTCGCACCGATCCAGTAATAAACACGTTATAGCGAGCTCTAAATAATAATTCGAACGACCCTAATAATTCTGATCGAATACCTTCGGAGTTAGCATATGGGTTCTCCCTTCGCACCGATCCAGTAATAAACACGTTATAGCGAGCTCTAAATAATAATTCGAACGACCCTAATAATTCTGATCGAATACCTTCGGAGTTAGCATATGGGTTCTCCCTTCGCACCGATCCAGTAATAAACACGCTATAGCGAGCTCTAAATAATAATTCGAACGATCCTAATAATTCTCATCGAATACCTTCGGAGTTAGCATATGGGTTCTCCCTTCGCACCGATCCAGTAATAATCACGCTGTACCAAGCTCTAAATAATAATTCGAACGATCCTAATAATTCTGATCGAATACCTTCGGAGTTAGCATATGGGTTCTCCCTTCGCACCGATTCTGTAATAAACACGTTGTACCGAGCTCTAAATAATAATTCGAACGATCCTAATTATTCTGATCGAATACCTTCGAAGTTAGCATATGGGTTCTCCCTTCGCACCGATTCTGTAATAAACACGTTGTACCGAGCTCTAAATAATAATTCGAACGATCCTAATTATTCTGATCGAATACCTTCGAAGTTAGCATATGGGTTCTCCCATCGCACCGATCCAGTAATAAACAAGATTCCGTAAAAATTGAAACATTGACAAAAATCGAGATCGATGCCGTAACAGTTACGTATAGAAAACCTTAGCACACCGATAAGCGATCAGGACAAATCCGATAAGTTGCCCAACCGATGCATAACCGGGTTGTTACATCATTTCGTTTCGAAAAACCGGAATCGCTATCGGAACGGTCTCCTATCCCCGGTTGTCTGCACCTATCGCGGCGGACGACACTGACAGAACACGTTCCGTCGTTGTAGAACCTGGACATCTACATCTACAAGCACAGCATCAAAACGACGGACATCGGGCTGACCGCGGTGATCGCCGACTCGCCCACGAAGTTCGAGATTTGGTTCCGCAAGAGGAAACCAGGCGACACGTACACGTTGCAGTGCGCCAGCGAGGACATCAAGAAAGCTTGGACGGAGGAACTGAGCAACCTTTTATGGAAGCAGGCGCTGCGAAACAGAGGTACGCTTGCCAGAGGGAAGCGACACTTTGTTGTGCGTTTTGATGTACAGCCTCTATCCTCTACCCCCCCCCCCCCCCCCCCCCCTTCCTCTCTCCCCCTCTCCTCCCCCG